ACTTCATTTGGGTCTCAAGGTTACTGACCTTGAGCATCCTTTGGAGATACAGGTAGGGAATTCTCAATCTGTCTCAGTCAAGCAAGTCATCAAAGAAGTGTCAGTCACCTTTGATGACAAAGGGAAAGTCAGACATTCCCTGAATTTTTATGTTTTTCCCCATCTTCCCTTTGATCTGGTCCTGAGTCTGAAGTGGTTAAGGGCTACTAACCCTTCAATTGACTGGGCTCTGCCCAGTATTCAATTGAAGAATTCCCAGGGTGAGCTAAGACAATGTGTCTTAGCTGCTGACCATCATCCTAAGACAAGTTGTTACTGCCTGAAAGCCAGGGAGTTTTACAACTTGTCTAAGGAAACTGACCATGAGAATCTGTTTGTGGCTTATGTCACTCAAACAGATTCAGATTCCTCCCCTTCTCAGATTGATCTTTCCATTCAACAGGTGGTTGATGAGTTTTCTGATTTGGCTCAGGAGCCTACTGGACTAGTCCATAGGCAGACCAAGCACCATATTCAGATTCTGCCTGACTCTACCCCTCCCAAAGGAAGAGTCTATAGGATGTCACCTGCTGACTTGGATGAGTTGAGGAAACAGTTGGAGTCCTTGACAGAGAAGGGATGAATCAGGCCCAGCTCATCTGAGTATGGGGCACCGGTTCTCTTTGTTCCAAAGGGAAATGGTGAACTCAGGATGTGCATTGACTATAGGGGCCTGAACAAGATCACTAGGAAGAGCTCTGAGCCCTTGCCTAGGATCGATGACTTGCTGGACATGGTGCAAGGCTGCAAAGTCTTCAGCAAAACTGATCTGAAATCCGGGTATCATCAGATCAAAATGGCTGAAGAGGATGTCTACAAGACAACCTTTAAAACCCGGTATGGCACCTATGAGTTCCTGGTCATGCCTTTTGGTCTGTGCAATGCACCAGGAACATTCCAGACTGAAATGAATCGCATTTTCAGACCTTTTCTTGACCGCTTTGTTGTGGTGTACCTGGATGACATTCTGGTATACAGCAAAGATGCTAAGGAGCATGCAGACCACCTCAGGAAAGTTCTGCAGGTCCTGAGGGAACATAAGTACAAATTAAACAAAGAGAAATCATCATTTGGTGTTTCCTCTGTTTTGTACCTAGGTCATGTGATTTCTGCAGATGGTCTATCCCCTGAAGCCTCCAAAGTGGTTGCAGTCAGGGAATGGCCACAGCCACAGACTGTGAGGGACATCAGATCTTTCATGGGGTTAGCCTCTTATTACAGGAAGTTCATCAGAAACTTTTCCTCTATTGCTACTCCCCTGACAAACCTGCTAGCCAAGGATGTTCCCTTCAGGTGGTCCACCACTTGTCAATTGGCTTTCTCCAGATTGAAGAAAGCACTTACCCAGACACTTGTGCTGAAACTACCTGACCCTACCTTGCCATTTGTGTTGACCACAAATGCAAGTCAGTATGGTGTTGGTGCAGTCCTTCAGCAAGATGATGGGACCGGCCTGAAACCGGTGGAATTCAAGAGTAAGAAAATAAAGGTGCAAATAATTCAGGCGTTTACTTATGAAAAGGAACTGTATGCTCTCGTCTGTGCCCTCAAACAGTGGAAGCATTTCTTACTTGGGAGACATTTTAAAATCTTTTCTGATCACTCCACTCTGCAGTGGATGAAGACCCAAGGTGAGTTAAATGATAAACTGGCAAGGTACATTCAGTTCATCGACGGATTTGACTTTGAACTGAAACACAAGAAGGGATGCTATAACAGGGTTGCTGATGCATTGTCACGTAGACCTGATTCCTTCGCAGCCATTGTTGACACATACTCTTTTGTTGATTCCACCAAAAAGGCCATTACTGATGCGTTGCCTCATGATCCGGTCTTTGGCCCCATTCTTAGGAATTTACAGGCTGACCCCAGTTCTGAGTCAGGCTATGCCTTGACTTCAGGCTTGCTGTATACAATCAGCGAAGGGGAAGAACGTTTGTGCATCCCTAATGATCGCAAGATCATCACTCATCTGATCTCAGAGAGCCATGATGCTCGCGGTCACTTTGGGTTCTTAAAGACGTATGCTGCCCTGACCCAACGTTTCTATTGGTCTAAAATGAAGGATGATATCCTCCATTACTTGGAGACCTGCGAATTGTGCCAAAGAAACAAGGTCCACAGGCGACCTCCTATGGGACTTCTCAAACCCCTACCTATCCCTTATGGTCCAGGTGAGTCAGTGTCTATTGATTTCACAGACCTGGGCAAAACCACTCCACGTGGAATGAGACAGGTAATGGTTTGTGTGGATCGATTCTCTAAGTATGCTGAGTTTATCCCCTTACCTGCTGAGGCCAGAGTACCTCTGGTCAGAGAGCTCTTTTGTGAGAGGTGGGTAAATGTCCATGGATGCCCAACCTCCATTGTCAGCGACAGAGATCCCAGATTCTGCAGCGATGATTGGCAGTCCTTCTGCAAGGACTCCCTACATTCCAGACTAGACATGACCTCTGGCAGACATCCCGAAGCCAATGGACACGCCGAAGTGATGAACCAGGTCTTGTTTCAGTTGCTGCGTCCTGTGATCACACCCGATCAGCAGGACTGGGACAGACATTTGTCACGGGCACAACTGATGTATAACTCTTTTGTTCACAGCACCACAGGCTTTACACCCTATAGGCTGCACTTTGCAAGAGACCCCAGACAACCTCTGGACGATCTGATTGACAAGTCCAAGCCTAAACTAACTCCTGGAACTGCAGAATTCACCAAGAGTTATGAGAAGGTTAGAGAAAGCGAGAACTAATATGTTCAAGGCCCAGCAGACGATGATCGAACAGGCTAATAAGCGTCGCTCTCCCTCTACTATTCGACCAGGTCACTGGGTCTGGGTGAAAAGATCTGAACTAACTGACGAACAGGATATTTCACGGAAGTTGTTGCCTGTTTACTATGGCCCATGGCAGGTGCTTGATACAGTGGGGGCAGATCCATTTGGACCTTCCTATGTGCTTGCTGTACCCCGTCATATCAGGACCTATCCAGTTTTCCATGCCTCAAAACTGCTGCCTTTCACTTCTGCTGATGCGTTTCCTGATAGGCCACCGCAATTTGGTCCTCCAATCCCTGGCAAGGGATACGAAGTTGAGAGCATCGAAGATCAGTGGGGCACAAGCCCCAACTGTGAATACCTTGTGAAGTTCCTGTTCCAACCTCACACAGAGTACCGAAGGTTCCCAAGGAAAGAACTTCTCAAGTCTGCAAATTCAGTTGTGCGCGCCTATGAGGCCGAACAGAAGAAACAACCTCTCCGACGTTCCCCTCGTGGACACACCTAGCTCGGAGTCCTCGCTCCCCGGGAGGGTAGGAATGCAATGAATTGCAGTGGCATGCGAGCTGTACACTAACCTTGTTTGATGTTGCCTGGTTTTGAGTCCTTCGGGATTTGATCCCGCAACCTGTTTGTTTGCTTGTTTGCTTGTTGGCTGTGTTTGCCTGTTTATTTTGAGCCTTGTTGGACTCGATCCCCAGTCCTGTCAGCAGCAATCTCTGTTGGCTGGTCATAGACCCTTCGGGCTGTTTTGGGTTGTTTCAGTAGGAGGAACCTAGGCCTCTCCCCTCTGGTGCTGTTTTCTGTCTAGATACAGTCGTAGGCTGTAGATGCAAAACTAAGCTGTAGGCTGTCCTTTCTGGGAGGCTGGAGAGGAACAAAAGTACCGAGGGCAAAGTTTTAGGGGTTCTGTTCGTCATTTTTTTTTTCCACGAAGTGCTGCTGGAGGTCGCTGCTGAAGCTGCGTTAATTTCAAGTGCTGCTCCTCCCTCCTCGTTGAAGGGAAGCTGACAGCCATAGCTGGGTTTACCTGGCTTGTGTGGAATTGGCCCCGGGGCATCAGGCCCTGCTTTGTGAGATGCTTCCTCCACCGCTGTTCTGTTGGGGTTTTGACAGCTGCCATCGAAGCAGCTTTTCCATGCCTGCTTCGAAGTGGCAGGTCACCATCTTCATCGAGCTGTTGTGCTTCTTCTTCGTCTAGGGAGCTCCCCTCCTTTGCTGATCGGACACGTCATCTGCAGTGGGCATCGCGGTTGAACTGCTGAGTGACTGTTTGGGGATACAAGGGTTGGTGGCGATTAGTGGGCTTGATAGGTTGGGCGCAGGCCTGCGCCATAGCTGTGAGCTCGAAGGTGTGGGAGGAAGAAGAAGTCTCCYTCGATGAAACTCTGTAAATAATTYGTTCATAGATGTTGTTAACGTGGTTGGGATTCTTGRAGTWGTGCTGTTGATTGAACTGGGAGAGACGGTAAATTAGAATTGATTTCGTTTCAATTCTAATCTTGGTATTTGTGTGCTTCCGCTGTGCAATTTCATCATCTGGTTTGGTGTGGATTTTCTCTCTCCAAGTCTACTTGCAATTTCGCACGTGTATGGGAACATGTGTATGCTATGCTAGATTCGTTTTCAATCAGGCACATAACATAT